TTCAGAGCTCCTGTCTGTCCTGCCCCCAGTTCAAGTCCACGGCTCGCTGAAGGGCCCCAGGCACCTTCGGCATCACCCAGAGCCGTTTGCCCCTACCCCCACCCCGTCTCCGGCCCGGATGCATCTCTGCCTCCGGAAAGGTGGGGGCAGACCCCTGGAGGGGGTGCTCGCTGGGGTGGGGGCAGGGGGAGGAGAAGGGTTGAAATGTAAGAGGGAGTCAGAGCCCCGGCCCGTGTGGTTCAATAGGTAGAGCGCCGGCCTGCAGACTGCAGGGTCCCGGGTTCGATTTCAGTCAAGGGCACAGGCCCGGGTTTCAGCCTCGAGCCCCAGTGGGGGGCGTGCAGGAGGCAGCCGATCCGTGATTCTCTCTCCTCATGGATGTTTCTCTCTCTCTCTCCCTCTCCCTTCCTCTCTGACATCAATAAATAGATATATTTTTAATAAAGAGGGCATCAGAAGACTCAGCCACCAATGTAGTACTGCCAGGCAACGTGTGACATTCCAAGTTCACGCGAAAAAAAAACCACACAGGGAACCACGTATGGAAACGCTGAAGAAAGACAGGGTCAGTGTTCCTGGCTTGTCCTGTGGCCTCCGGCGGCGACGTCTGCTGGGTCTCGTAAAAAAATAAAAAATAAAAACCCGAAAGAAACCACCGCGGGCTCCGCGGGGGGCAGGGGCTCAGCTGTGAGCTCCAGATGGGCAGCGCGTGGGCCCGGCCGGCGGCCAGACGGGCAGGGGGGCCGGGGGGGGGGGCAGCCAGAGGGCACAGGAGCAGCTCAGCCACGTCGGGGGGGGGGGGGGGACCAGCTTTTGCTGAGTAACGCGGAAACGGATCTGAACCATACGGCTCGAATTCCCCAGAAAACAAACAGGATTTGAGAGGAAAGGAAAAGTACCTCGTTAGCCGCGCTGTCTGAGGTTTTCCGGCGCCCAGACCTCCCGGGGCCGAGCTCAGGCCGGTTACTCAGCCGCTGCTCACGGGGCAGCTCCGAGGCCGGGAGCCCGGCTGGTCAGGAACCTCCGGTTTGTTTTTAAAAAGCGTTTCACGGCTGGCCCCCACCGACGCCCCGGCCCCCTCCTTGTGGGGTTCATCCCTGTGTTTCTTTCCAGCTGGGGGGCCTGGAGGACACCCACTGTCCGAGGCCTGGGGGGCGGGGTGTCTGGGGACCCAGGACACGGCGGGGGCCACGGGGGGGGGGGGGTTTGCAGGAAACCAAGCTGCCGGGAGGCTAACCATAGGCTAAGGCCGCTCAACCACCCGCTATGATGTGCACTGACCACCAGGGGGCAGACAGTTCAACTGGTGGGCCATTCAATCAAAACGTAACATGCTAATGATATGCTAAGGCCGCTCAACCGCCCGCTATGATGTGCACTGACCACCAGGGGGCAGACAGTCGACCGGTCGACCAGTCGCTATGACTTGCACTGACCACCAGGGGGCAGACAGTCAACTGGTCAGCCATTCAACCAATCAAAACATAACATGCTACTGATATGCTAAGGCCGCTCAACCGCTCGCGATGACGTGCACTGACCACCAGGGGGCAGATGCTTCGACGGGTCGGTTAGCTTGCCGCTGGGGTCTGGCTGATCGGGACTGAGCGAGATGGGCCGGACACGCCTGGAGTCCCTCCCAGGCTGGCCAACCTCCCGGTCCCCCCCCCTCAGCAAGGCCGAGAGCCCGGGAGGAAGGCAGGTGAGTGACACACAGGGCCAGGAACGAGGCTGACACCAAGGTGCCCTCCCTCCCCAGCCCATCGCCCGCCCTGTGGACACCCCCGCCCGTCGGGGGGTGGGGTGGAGGGAGGGCGGCCCCCAGCGCGGGTCCGTGGGATCGAGGGGCCGGGTCGCCCGTGCCGTGTCCTTCCCACTGGCTGCCCCCGGCCCCGTGTGTGTGTGTGTGTGTGTGTGTGTGTGTGTGTGTGTGTGAGGTTGTCACACGCGGGTGATCCTGGTTCCACGCCCCCGGAAATCCCCGAGACCCAGCGAGACATCAGAATGCGAAGGAGACACGGCAAGAGCCACCACCGAACGAAGGTCGTGCACGCCAGCACCCTGGCTGTCCAAGAGCAAGCGGACACGGTCGGGGCAGGGCAAGGTTTGCAAACTGTGTTCCGGGGAACCCTCGGAGCTCCGGGCGCTCCAGAGGGGCCTCAAGACGAAACTCCAGGCCCGACCCCGTCCGGCCCGTTCTACCGGCTCCACACAGCGGGGTTAGTAAGATGTGGGGGCGGGGGGGGAACCTTGTTATGGTTAAAGTCATTTTTTAAAAAATATTTTTATTGACTTCAGAGAGGAAGGGAGAGGGAGAGAGAGAAACATCCATGATGAGAGAGAATCGTGCATCAGCCGCCTCCTGCACGCCCCCTGCTGGGGATGGAGCCCACAACCCCGGCCTGTGCCCTTGACCAGGAATCGAACCCGGGACCTTTTCATCCCCAGGCCGACGCTCTACCCACTGAGCCACACCGGCCGGGGCTGGTTCAAGTCATCTTAAAGCCCTGGTCTAAGAGACTACGGGACCCAGAGGCCTCCAGCTGCTCAGAAGGGCTCTCTCTCCTGCGAGGCGAGGCCCAGGGTCAAGGCCTGGGCAGGTACGGGAGCTACGCACCTGAGGCAGGTGAGGAGCCTTCTACACCTGGGAGCCGACAGGGGGTGAGAGGCTGGGACCTGTCGGGGCTTCTAGAACTTTCCCCTGGTTTCTCGGTGTGAAACGCCTCCTGCACCCACTTCCTACCTGAGCCTCAGCTGAGAATCCCTGTCGGGGCTGATCTTCCCCCATCACCTCCGGCCCCTTCTCGGGGCAGCTCCTAGAATGACCTCAGCTCCCCCTCGCCACCCCCCCCCCCGGCCGGCCCCGCCTGAGCCACCCGCCCTGGCCCCCGTCACACGGACGTCCGTCCCCCACGCTAGACGGCTCGCTCTGCAGGGCGGGCACCGTTCCCCCAACACTGTCTCCTGGGTGCCTAACACAGACCATGCCAAGCACCGGGGCCCGCGTCTCTCCGGACACCACCTGCCCCTGGGGCTCAGCCAAGGCCTCTGTGACGGGCGGCCACAGGGATGCCACGGGGACGGGGCGGGGGGCGGGGGTGGGGAGGGAGGGAGAGACATGAGCTTCCCATTCAAGTGACCTCTTAGCGCCGGCCGCGTGCCTGGGCCGGGCAGAGCTAAACCGCCATCCCACGGTGGTCGTGCAATTAAAAGATGCCGGGTCCAGCCCTGGCCGGTGTGGCCCAGTGGATAGAGCGTCGGCCTGCAGGCTGAAGGGTCCCGGGTTCGATTCCGGTCAAGGGCATGTCCCTGGGTTGTGGGCTCCATCCCCAGTGGGGGGTGTGCAGGAGGCAGCTGATCAATGTTTCTCTCTCATCGATGTTTCTAACTCTATCCCTCCCCCTTCCTCTCTGTAAAAAATCAGTAAAATATGGGGGGAGGGGGGAGACTCAAGGGGCCCCAGGTTCTTAGTGAGCTGATGAGGCAGCTGACGAGCCACCACCGTCTCCAAGAATTTGAAGGTCGTGAGGAGGTCGCTGGGAGGACACAGGCCCACGGGCCCCATCCACGCGGACAATCAGACGCTACGCCAAGAGCTGACTCAGAATCACAGAGAGCCAGTGGCCATGGGCAGCCTCACCTGGGACCTCGTTCGCCAGGCAGGCGCCCAGGCCCCGCCCCAGACCTGCCCATCAGGACCTGCAGGTCGACAAGCTCCTGGGACCCAGGACAGCCGGCCCCGGGGAAGCCTGCACCCCCTGCACCCCCTGCACCCCCTGTGCCCCCTGAGGCAGGGCCCTGGCGTAGACGCTTCACATGGGGGGGACCGGCTCCTCGCCGCCCTCCCTGGAGCGGGAACTGCCTGGGGCTCGGCTCTGGGCGCACAGCTGCGAGGAAGACGGCACCGGCTTTCCTAGCAGCTGTCCGGTCAGAGCTCTTGAAACCCGAGTGGTATGGACGCTGCCAGGCGGCTGCCCCGGCAGGAGATCCAGAGATAAGGCCTCGCTGTTTCCCGGGCCAGGAGCCGGCCTGTCGGGGCGGCCGGGAGGGGGAGACCTGCTGGGAGGGAGCCGGAGGGAGGCGCCCGGCTCAGTCCCCTGGAAGGAGGGGGCACGGCGTTCCTGGGCCCAGAGGAGCCAGAGCCGGCCCTGGAGGGTCACAGGGCAGAAGAGGGGCGGCTCCCCTCGCTGGGGGGGCGGGGGGGGGTCGCTGGGCGCCAGGGGGCAAATGCATTTTGGTGACATTTCTCTGGGGGCAGCCTTCCTTGTGCAGAGCCGGGTTCGAGCACAGACAGAGGAGAGAGGGAGGGTGTGGGGGGCTACAGGGGCGCGGAGATGAACAGGAGCCACCATGGTAACCAGCAGAGTCGCTCCCAGCTTAACCAAGTCCCTGGGGCCGGGCGCCCAGGAAGGGTGCTCAGGGCTCCGTGGCACACCTGGCGGCACATCTGGCAGAGCCGCGGGAAGGCAGTGGGCGCCGGGAGTCCCCCTCCGGCCCCCGGACCTGGCCAGACCCCCGCCTGGCGGGCACATCGCCAGGAGAGAGCCACGAAGCCCGCGGAAACGGCGACCCCTCACCACGACCCCCGTCCTCGCAGGAGCCCAGCCCCTGGGCCCGCGCCGCCCGCCTGAGCCGCAGCTGCCCGAGCAACACGCAACACGCAACACGGAACTGTGCTCGGCCCACGCCATCCGGGGGGACGGTCACTCGGGCGGGGGCTGGGCATCCCGGAGTCACCGCCCGCGTCCCCGGCTTCCCCACGCACGCTCCTGCCCTCCGGCCGGCCGTCGGTCCCGGGGCCACGGCAGCCGCAGACAGAAGGCCCAGAGTCACCGCCCGCGTCCCCGGCTTCCCCACGCACGCTCCTGCCGTCCGGCTGGCCGTCAGTCCCGGGGCCACGGCGGCCGCAAACAGAAGGCCCAGGGCCGCGGAGCCCTGTCCACCCGCCCAGCCCCACACGGCGCGCGTTCCGGCGCTAGCCATTGTCCTACCGGAGCCGGAGCTGCGTGGTGACCCAAGGAGACAGCCAGGACTTCGGGGGCCGGGCCCGGCCTCCTGCTCCCTCCACGCGGGCGGGGCCCCCAGGAGGCTGCGGGCTGGGCCTGGGCCTCCGCCGCCATCGGTGCAGGGAGCTGAGCCTCCCGCCGGCTCCTGGAGAGAGAGAGAGAGTCAGCGCCAACACGGGAGGCTGCAGACACACACACACCACGTACAACGCACACATACAACACACACACACATACAACACGCACACCACATACAACACGCATACCACACACACCACAGACATACAGACACAACACACACACACCACGTACAACGCACACACATACAACACACACAACACATACCACACACACAACACACATACACACCACACACACACCACACACATACACATACCACATACAACACATACAACACACATACCACACACATACAGACAACACACACAGCACGTACAACGCACACACATACAACACGCACAACGCATACAACATACCACACACAACACACACATACACATACCACATACAACACATACCACACACATACCACACACACATACAGACACAACACACACAGCACACACACACCCATACACACGCAACACACACATACACATGCAGCACATGAGACACACATATACCACACACCATACAACACATACCACACACACCACGTACACACATACAGACACAGCACACACAGCACACACACATGCACCACACACAGCATACACACCCCCACACACATACACACACAACACACACAGCACACACACAAACCACATACCACACACACCACACATAGCAAACACAACACATTAACCACATACACACACCACGTACACACACACCACACACACCACGTACACACACACACCACGTACACACACACACACCACGCACACACACACACCACACACCACAGCACACACACAGCACACACACCACGTACACACACACACACCACGTACACACACACACCACGTACACACACACACCACGTACACACAGCACACCACGTACACACACACACCACGTACACACACACACCACGTACACACACACACACACCACACACCACAGCACACACACACCACACACACCACGTACACACACACACCACGTACACACACGCACCACACACACACTTTGGGCCGGGGGTGGAATGCACCGTAAGACGGGCCCACTGCACTGCCATCATCTGACCGTCTGTGATGTTGGAATTACTGGTGATTTGCACCCAAATGAAGAGCTGGGATGCAATGTCTTTTGTTTAATATATTTTTATTGATTTCAGACAGGAAGGGAGAATCATGGACCGGCTGCCTCCTGCACGCCCCCCACTGGGGAAGGAGCCCGCCACCCGGGCCTGTGCCCTGAGCGGGATCGAACCCCGACCTCCTGGTTCCTAGGCCGATGCTTAACCACTGAGCCACGCCGGCCGGGCCCGGAAGGAATGTTGAAACCCAACAGGACCCAGCACTCAGCCAGGGCTCCCGGCTCAGCGAGCGTCTGTCAGGGTCTCACAGCCGCCCAGGCCCACGCGAAGGGAGGACGTGCTTCCCGCCTGGGGACGACCACGGAGGGGCTCCCAGCCCAGGGACAGGGAACCCCCAGGCCCCAGCAGTGGGGCCCCAGGGCCGCTCCCCACCGACACCCAAGAGGACCTCACCCCCATCGGATCCCGGAGGCCCCTGGGGAGGCCCTGCCTGCCTCTGAGAGGAGGCTCAGAAAGCACCGAGCATCTGACCAGAGGCGGCGAGGACGTGACTTACTTGCCCTGGCCGGTGTGGCTCAGTGGATAGAGCGTCGGCCTGCGGACTGAAGGGTCCCAGGTTCGAGTCCGGTCAAGGGCATATACTTGGGTTGCGGGCACATCCCCAGTGGGGGGTGTGCAGGAGGCAGCTGATGGATGTTTCTCTCTCATCGATGTTTCTAACTCTCTGACCCTCTCCCTTCCTCTCTGTAAAACATCAATAAAATATATTTTTTTAAAAAAAAAAATATGACTTACTTGATCTTGCCTCTGAGCGGTGCAGGTGGGAAAAACAGGCGACGGACTCCTCTCACAAGAAAAGCTCCATTTATCTTTGAATTCGACTTTTTCTTTTTCTTTTCTTTTTTTCTTCTTTTTTTGGCATTGCCGTCCACTTCAGCACCTCCATCGGTTCCGTCGAGTTCTCAAACGTGAAAATAAGCTGGAGACGGAATCCCTGCGAAACAAGGGCTCGGTCAGGGGCGAGAGCAGAGGGCTGGCCACGACCTGTGAACCAGGAGGTCAGGGTTCGGTTCCCGGTCAGGGCACAGGCCCGGGTTGCAGGCTCCATCCCCAGTGTGGGGGGGCGTGCAGGAGGCAGCCGATCCGTGATTCTCTCTCCTCATGGATGTCACTCTCTCTCTCTCCCCCCTCTCCCTTCCTCTCTGACATCATCCTATAGAATAAAAGCATCCTGTGCTAAGGTCCGACCTTTCCGTGGACCGCCCGACCGGTCGCTATGATGCGCACTGACCACCGGGGGGCAGACGCTCCCACCGGTAGGTCAGCTGGCTGCTGGGGTCTGGCCAAGGCCGAGGGATCCCGCCAGTGCACGAACCCGTGCACCGGGCCTCCGGTATAGAAATAAATAGATACAAAATACGCCTGTGATGGCCACCACTTTCAGAGCATTCCCTGTACCCCTTCTCATGAACAGCTCAGCAGGACACAGACCCTGAGCGGACAAGACTGTTGGACAATCACACAGGCTGTGGCCGAAGAGAGAAGAGGGGAAGCTCGATGGCTTTTACCCTCCGGCCGGCCTTCCCTCACCCGCAGCAGCGGACCCGAATCTCTCACATTTTTTTCCCCCAAGTTGGGGGGCGATCCACACCGCTGTGTACATGGAGGTGCCAGAACAGAAGCGCCCCAGCAGGTGGCATTTCTATGCAGGGGAGGGACTTGTTGGACCGGCAGATGCGCCCTTACAGGTGCGCCCACGTGCTGCCAGGAAACCAGCCAGGGACACCCCACGCTGGGCTCGGGAGGGGACGCTGGGGGCCTCGCGGGGAGCGGGAAGCGCCTTGGAGCGAACAGGCTCGGAACACAGCCCAGCGGCTTTGGCAAAGGCACCCAGACCCGTTCTCCGTGAACTTGCTCTGTTTGGCTCGTCCCGGGGGACTGGGACACTAACATGCGCTCCCGGTACCTCGCTCACCGAACAGTGTTCTCAAAGCGGAACAGGGTCCTGGGAGAGGCACAGGGAGCGGTTGGCGCCAGGTCCCGGGGAGTCCGGCTTCCCCTCCCCGCCTCCCTCGGAAGCTCCAGGAGCCAGGGTGACCCCCGGCTGGGCCACGCGCTCTCCTCCCGAGTGGCTCGCCCAGCCTGGGGACGGGGCACCGGGGGCTCCCCCAGACCAGCCCCCCCACCCTCTTCCCCTGCCCTGCGCTCTCACGCCCAGAGTCTGGGAGGAAAGCGCGCGACTTGCCGGAGACCCAGGGCCAGGGACCCGGCGTGGAGGAAGCGCCTGGGAGCTGTCCATGGTGGCGCGGCGCCTGGGCACGCGTCGCCGCGGGCTCCCACCCCTCCTTCCCCCTCCACCCCGGGTGTGCCAGCCCGCCCGCCCCCGGCTCGCTCGCTCTCTCTCTCTCTCTCTCTCCAGACCGACCGCCGGAACGGAGAGAGTCGCTCCGGGCTCACCAGCTCCGGGACGGGGCGGCAGCCAGGCCCTGGCTCACACCTCAAAGGGTCCGTCCAAAGGGAGTTCTCACCTGTGGGCAGCGCTGGCCGCAGGGAGCAGGACTCGGGACCGCACATCCGGCAGCTGGCAGCGCGTGGCGTTGGGCTCCGGGGGCCGCCGAGGTGCGCTGAGAGCGAGTCCGCGGCTGGGCACCTGGGCGCACGCATGGAGCGCCTTTCTTGGGGGCACGTGCGCCCCACGGGTCCGTCCGCTCCGGAAGGTCTCCGGCCCTCGATCCCGGAGCCGCGCGCGCTGGAGACCCGGCCTGCGCTCCGCCGGGTCCCTGCCTGGCCTTCCGACCTAAGCCGGCCTTTCCCGGAGCCTCCGTGCCTTGCCGGGAACCACCGAACCCTCCTCCAGAGATGCCAGCTTGGAGCCCCCGACTGCACATCCGCGGGGGCCGTCGTGTCTTCTACGGTTCAATGGCCTCCACCCCACCACCCTGCTCGTAGCCTGGCGCCGTCCGGGAGGAGGAGGGGGGGGGGGGGGAGGCCAGAGAGGAGCCGGTGCTGAGACCCGGCGGCGGCGGCGGCGGCGGCGGCGCAGCGCAGACCCGTCTCCAGGCGCGCGCGCCCCTGTGCGCAGCGCGAGCGGCTCCCGGGTCGTCCAGACTCCGCAACGGGACCCTGCGAGCCGGCTTCACCCGCAAACCCCCCGCTGAGGGCCGTCCTGGGTACGAGCCCAGCGACCCATCCAGGAGGGAGGGCTCTCTGGAAAGCCGGGGTCTGCCCACCCCCCGCGCTGGATGCGCTCCAAGGGACACAGGCGCCCGGGCACCTGCCGCTGGCAAAGGGATCGCACGATCGATCCGCAGAGAAAAAATCTCACCGAGGACGGGGACGGTGGGGGGGGGGGGGCGTGCGCGGGGACAGACAGACAGACAGCACGGAGCAGACAAACAGGAGCCGATGCTGACGCTTGGAGCCGCCGGCTACCCCCCCCGCCACCCACGCTGCGCTCCCCTCCGAGGCTGGGCAGCCTGCGCGCCCGCCGGCGCCCTTACCTCCCGGTCCGTCGGCCGCCCCGGCGGTGCCACGCCTCCCCGGCGGGGAGCGCAGAGGCCGGCGCGTCCGGCGGCCGCCGCGGGGCGCAGAGCTCCGGGCCGCGGGCAGGCAGAGCTGGGGCGGGTCTGGGAAGCGGGGTTCAGGCCTGGCCGAGCTGCCCGAGGCTCCTGGCTCCTGGCTCTTGGCTCCTGGCTCGCGGGGCTCGGCTCGACCGACCTCTCCGCTGCGCCGCGCTCGCGTTTCCAACCGCCGCCGCCAGCGCCCGGCTTTATAGCTGCCGCTCCGGCAGCCAGAGCGCTGGCTCCTCCCCGGGCCCAGGCGCCCCGCCACCAGCCCGCCCCCCTCCCGGGCTCCCTCCCGCCCGCGCCCCGGCCGGAGCCAGGCGCTCGGAGAAGGCTCGGCAGCCGCCGGGTGGGGGCGCTGGATCCCCGGCCTCGAAGCGGCGGGCTGGGCGCTGGGAGCGCAAGTCCTGGCTCCAGGGTGGGAGGGTCGCGGCGCAAGGACAGAAAACTCCCCCGCGCGCTGCTGGCTCCCCGGAGGAGGAGGCCACGGAGGAGAGAGAGACCCTCACAATCTTTTTTTTAAAAAATATATTTTATTGATTTTTCACAGAGAGGAAGGGAGAGGGATAAGAGAGTCAGAAACATCGATGAGAGAGAAACATCGATCAGCTGCCTCCTGCACGCCCCCCACTGGGGATGTGCCCGCAACCAAGGTACATGCCCTTGACCGGAATCGAACCGGGACCCTTCAGTCCGCAGGCCGACGCTCTATCCACTGGGCCACACCAGCCAGGGCCATCTTTTTTTGTTTGTTTGTTTAACTGGTCAGGAAAGAGTGGCCTCACAGGCTCTCCCAGAGGCAAATGGCTGCCCTTTGATGGAAACCGGGTCAGACACGCGGGGCGTGTGGCTGTGGACAAGGGTCAGATACTGACCTCCCTGGGCCTCAGTCTCCTCCTCAGGGAAATGGGTTCTGTGACGCTTCCCCCGCAGGACTGAAGAGAGGACTCACAAGAGGCTGGGACGGTGGCGGGACCCGGCGCATAGTGGGTGCTCAGTACGGGGGAATCCTTCCCAGGTGTGGACAGACCCCATCCTCGAGGGTCAAAGGTGTCATCTCTCGCTACGTCTTGCAGAGTAAACAAAGCCCCTGGTGAGGGGCCCGCACAGGCCCCCGGGGCACCCGGCCGCTCGCCTCGCCCTCTCTGGGTCTGCCTGTTGTCTGTGAAGTGAGGGCGTGGATACCAGGTCTTCCTCCCTCCTCCATTTTATTTTTTTTGCAGCTTGCAGCTGGGCCCCCTCACCTGTGTGGCCGGAGTCCCCTGAGGACACCCGACTCCCCTCCTTCCAGCCAGCCCGAGCCCGGGAGAACTGAGCCTGCAGGACGGTCTGCCTTCTGGGCTCACGCACCCGCTCCCTGAGGCCGCATCTGGGCTGCAGGCGGCCAGAGCCGCCTGCTGGGGTCTGGGCCCATGTCTCTGGGCAGGCAGAGCCTCCATCCCCTGGCACAGCCTGGGCAGCCAGCCCGCCCGTTCTCCCTCCCTCCCTCCCTCCCTCCCTCCCTCCCTCCCTCCAGGACCCCGCCCTGAACCAGCTGGGTGAGAAGGCAGGCCCCTCCCCAGCCTTCCTTTCCAGCAAATTCAGTGGAACCAAGTGCCCTGGTTCCTTTCCTTTAAAAATAGATTTTATGCCCTGACCGGTGTGGCTCAGTGGATAGGGCATCGGCCTGCAGACTGAAGGGTCCCGGGTTCGATTCCGGTCAAGGGCATGTACCTTGGTTGCGGGCACATCCCCAGTGGGGGGTGTGCAGGAGGCAGCTGATCGATGTTTCTCTCTCATCGATGTTTCTAACTCTCTATCCCTCTCCCTTCCTCTCTGCAAAAAAAAAAAACCACAATAAAATATATTTTAAAAATAAATAAATAAAAGTATATTTTATTCATTTCAGAGAGGAAGGGGGAGGGACCTAGAGAGAGAGAAGCATCCATGATGAGAGAGAACCATGGATCGGCTGCCTCCTGCACGCCCCCTATTACAATCCCCATCTAGCCTGCAACCCGGGCATGTGCCCTTGACCGGGAATCGAACCCCGGATCCTCCCGTCCGCAGGCTGACTATCCACTGAGCAACACCGGCCAGGGCCCCTTTCCTTCCTGTAACAGGACCCCCCCTTCCCTCCACCCCCCCACACACACCAGAACCCACAGCCACGCCGGAGGCAGAGCACCTGGCTCAGCCTGGAACGGGCCTCACCCAGCGCCTGGCACGGTGGGGCCACACGCGGGCCTGCCCTCGGCCGTGGATGGGGCAGGCGTGGGGCCTACTCCCCAAAGGGCTCTGAGAAATGCTTCGTCATGTTTTTCCGAGGCCCTCACATTCCTCTCGCTTTATCTGCAGCCAGTGCCCCCCGGGGAGCAGAGCAACGCTGATGACTTGCAGGCGGGCTCGGCGTGTCCGCAGCCAGATTCCTCGGCCCGGCCGCCCCGCGCCCCCACTCAGCGCCCGTGATGGACGGGCTGTGGCGGGGAATTCTCCTGTGGACGCATGCTGACAGCGCACCCACCCTGGCCAACTCCCCTCCACCCAAACGCTTGCTCTTCGAAGAGCAGATCCAGGAGCCGTCCAGGTGGGACCTGGCCCCGCCCTTCCCCAGCTGGGCAGCCCCTCCACAGCCCGGCCGCCGGCTCCTGGCTCCCCGCCCAGCTGCCCGCGCCCTGCATTCCCATGTCCACGTCTGTCCCTGGCTGCAGAGCCACCGCCCTCTCTCTACCTGCTGGCCGACCGGCAAACCAGCCCTGCCCGCCAGCCAGCAGCCTGCCCTGGACCTGGGAAAGGCTGGTCCAGGCCTCCGGCTCCGTCCGCCCAGCCTGGGGTCTGGTTTTTTCCCAGGGAGACGTCAGGCCACGCCTGAGGGGACCTGGGGCACAGAGAGGTGGGGTGAGGAGCGAAGGGACCCCACAAACACACAAGACCTCAGGCCAGGATGGCTGGCTCTCCTAGGAGAAGAGGGTCCCCGGTCGCCGGCGTTTTCGATGCCACCTGCAGGGGTCGCCCTTGCACACGGAGCCTGACGCTGGCATCTGGGAAGGGAATTTCCCAGGCTGGGAGCTGGGGCCAGGTTTCCAGGCCTCGGATGGGCCAGGTTCCGGTCTGGTTGAAGGCAGATGAGGTTGCCCGCGAGGAGGCCAGGCCTCACTTCCCGAGGGGAGGGGGTCGGTGGGTGCTGGGGTTGGGGGCCGGGAAGCCCCAGATCGCTGGCCAACCACCAGGAGCTCTGCACATGGATTTCTGCATCTTCCTCTTCGAGCCCAGCATCGCCAAAGAGAAAGGACGTTCCTCCCCTGCGGTGTGGCTCAGTGGGTAGAGCGTCGGCCTGAGGCCCGAAGGGTCCCGGGTTCGGTTCCCGGTCAAGGGCACAGGCCCGGGGTTGTGGGCTCCATCCCCAGTGGGGGGCGTGCAGGAGGCAGCCGATCCGTGATTCTCTCTCATCATGGATGTTTCTCTCTCTCTCCCTCTCCCTTCCTCTCTGACATCAATAAAAATACATTGATTTCACATCACAGACTCCTTTTTCTAAATGCAGAAAGCACACGTGCTCAGAGGGAAGGTAGGGGAGGGTGGGGGGAGGGGGAGAGACCAACCAAAGGACTTGTATGCGTGCCTATAAGCCTAACCCATGGACACAGACACCGGGGGGTGAGGGCATGAGGGGGGGGGGAGGGGGGCAATGGGGGGATAAGGACACATATGTAATACCTTCATCAACAGAGACAAAAATTTAAGAAAAGAAGAAATCATCAAGGAAATTAGAAATATTCTGAACTAAGTGAAAATGGAAAGTACTAAATAAATAATGTGCAACTAAAAAAGAATATTTTTTTAATCTTACATGTTCCTTGCAAAAGAACTTTGAAAAGTCAGATCACGGACAAAGGAGACATCACCGAATTGCAGCACCATGCCCGCACCTTACACAAAGCTTGAAAAATAGAGAAAAAGGGGGAAGTTGCTTCTAACCAAGGATCGGCTCTGTCGATGTCAGTATACGTCCGTTTCCATGTATGTACAGGCCGTATGTGATTATAGATGCACAGATGCACACATGTATGTAAGTTTTCCGTAAACAGTTGGATGTTTAGCCCTGGCCAGCGTGGCTCAGTGGTTGAGCGTCGGCCTAGGAACCAGGAGGTCAGGGTTCAATTCCCGGTCAGGGCACAGGCCCGGGTTGCGGGCTCCATCCCCAGTGCGGGGCGTGCAGGAGGCGGCCGATCCATGATTCTCTCTCATCATGGATGTTTCTCTCTCTCTTCCTCTCCCTTCCTCTCTGAAAGCAATAATAATATATATTTTTAAAATAGTTGGATGTTTAGCTCAAAATCCTTCTCCCCAGGTTGCACACCCGGGAAGGCAGAGGCCGGCCCTCGAGGTCACGCCTACAGTGTCCAACAGTCGGTGAGCAGGAGGGGTCTACACTGGGAACGAGTGAGCACACGGGGGAGCCTTTATAGTTAAAACAGAACCCTTACACCTGGAATGCGGGGGCGGGAGCGGGGATCCAGGGGTTCCTAAACATTTTGCAAAGAGGCTCAGCTTTGCACACAGAGAGAGGCAGATTAATACTACACCGACGTACGCATCCCACTGGCTGCACCCCAAGAGTTCGAGGCTGCCCCCTTTGCTGGGGGAGGGGGCGGGGGTGCAGGACACATCCTCGCCTCATACATCACTGATAAGAG